GTTTTTAATAACATCAGTGTATATATATAAACATATATATATATACATATGATATTATTAATAAGTATATATATTTATGTCTACATTCTGATTTCTATTTTCCTCTCCGTGCTATAATCAGAGTGCAGATTCCACGCCGGAGGTGCTCTTGCAATCGTCGGAGACTTGGCCATGGGCCGCCACGACACCACGGAAGGGGCCAACCCGTCGACAATCTACGTCCCGATTTAGTTAATTGCACGAATACATATATATATATATATGTGTATATATATGTATATATATATATATGTATGTATATATATATATATGTATATATATATATATGTATGTATATATATATATATATATATACAAGTATAGGGTTGTATTGGTACATTCTGTTATATTTCATACTAGTATAGCACTACAATAAGGAGCCCTGTAGGCCCTCTTGCGCGTCGTTCAGATGTCATACGCCGTCAAGATCAGAAACTTCGTTTGGTGTTAGCAAATGTCAAGGTGCGCATGGCGCACGAAAGTTTCTGTTATTTGAGGAAGCGTTTCATGGTCTACAAACCGGACTTCCCAAGCTTAAGTACCCTGGAAAGCGGGATGCCCTCAGTGATAGAAGTGCGGGCGTCCGAGTTGCCTGCAAAGTTTTGGCTTCAAGGAAGTTGCAGACATGCGCTGCGTGCGCGTTGTCAAGAGGCAGACAGGTCCCTCAGATTCTGGAATGGTCGCCTCGAGCATGCACAGGGACCTTGAACATCTCACCCCCAGCCGGCGGCTTCACAAATGAAGAGATGATGGCCAGGGCGCGCATGCTTCGTTACCGAACATCCTCAACTGCAAGCCCAAAGCCACTTTAATCTTCTATCTTGTGAAGTCCCTGCACGGCGCCGCCCAAGCCATCAGCTGCCGCAAATACCGAATGCCAAACAATACCAGATCCTTCAGGGCCTGGCCCAGGCGGAGCGAGCTGGACGTCATCCCTAGAATCCCTAGAAGCGATTTAGGGGCTTAGGAGTCTCGGCTTTCTTCATAGAAGAAGTCGAGGATCAGGGTCTTTAGGGCCAAGATTCTGTGCATTCTGGCTGCTCAGACTGATACCCTGAATCCCGAAAGCCCCCAAGCCCTGAACTCAAATACTGATCTCAGTGCAACTCCAACCTGCTGTGCTTGATTTTCGGTTTGCTGGTGCATCTTTTGTTGGTTGTGGTGTCGGTTCACCTTCAGGAATCGTGGTGCAGAATAGATAAAGGGACAGAAGCCTTTTCAACATGCCCGCTGCAATAAGACTGCCCGCAAGCCAGTTCCTCGCCGGGGCGGAGAATGAGAATTCAGACGGCGTTCCCCTAGCTAAGGTACTCATACGGAGCTTTCTATCTCCCTAAGGCTCCAAATAGCCCAAAATAGGCATTTTTACAGACCTTAGACCCTGTCTACTTGGAGGTGCATGGTATTTATTAGCCAATTATAACTGTACTTATAACCAACTTATAAGCCCCTTAAGTGTGCTAATGTCACCTAATGTAGTTATGAGTACAGTTATATGTACAGTTATAATTGTTAATAAGTACCATGAACCTCCAAGTAGGTTACCTTGGGATGTGCCCCCCGTATCTAACAGTCCTTAATACGGACTATAATACCCCCGTGTGCTAACAGTCCTAAATAGGGACTATAGTCATAAGAACACATGAGGTAAAACAATGATCAGGCTCGTCTTTGGATTAGCGGAAAAATCTAGAATTCCAAAGCGTTCCATGGAAAACTGAAGGAAACCTGAGAAAGCTAGGCAAAGCTAGGAGAAGCTAAGTTAAGCTAAGATAAGCTACGAATTTCCTGGGGTGAAGTATGCCTTTGAAGGGCCTGTACAGAAGATGTCAACAGGAAACTACAGCTTGCCTTTTCCATCAAAGTTAATCTGAAGTTGCAGCTGTCAGCGCCTGAGGTTTGGGTGTTACTTATAGGTATCGGCCTTACAACCTACGCATTCATACAATACTGATTTCTGGCAATCAGAAGTGGACTTTGGTTTTTTTTTGCTAGCCATCGAGGTGCTACGACATTCCTGCCTTCAGACCCCGGCTCGCTAAATCTTTCCTGGAATCGGTCCCCGATCTGCTACGAAAGGCTAGAGAAGGCTAGGCAAGGCTAGCAAAAGCTAGCAAAAGCTAGCAAAAGCTGGAAAAAGCTAGAAAAAACTAGAGAAAGCTAGAAAAAGCTAGAAAAAGCTAAGTTTTTCCCGGTTTTCGGGCAAGCCCCCGGGGCCCCCAGCTAATCGTAAACAACTCTCGCCAATGTTTCCAAGAGCTTTGGCGACAATAGATTTCCAAATCCCTCATCCCTACAGTCTACGCCCGACAACCCTTCAGCTTTCCAAATCAAAAGGTTTGAGAAATCCCTAAATAATCCCTGTTAAATAAGGGTGAACATCTCAAAGGTTACACCCAAAAAAAGGGAACAAACAGTTTAGTTGTTTGTGCTCAGAATAAGTAGGTATAACCCATAAAACTGTAGGCAAAGAGGGTCCCAAGTAGGTTACCCCAAAAACGGGGGCCATGAAATTGGGGAACGAGCGCCAGATCAATCAAGGCAGTTGACCTTGGACCACCTCTGAACTCCCCGGGGCATAGGGTTAATGTAGGGTTTAGGGTTGAGAGGTGTTTAAAAGGGCTTAGGGTTTTGAACTTGACTCGGAATTGGGGGGGTGGGTATTCCCCAAGATTCCGTGTTTTTTTTTGGGTGTGGGGCGGGGCAGATGAGGGGTACCGCTATTCTGGGGAAACACTTGATTCAGTAAATGTCAGGATGCAGGGTTCCCCCGACGGGGTTCAGCCTTATGAGTCCAGTGGCATTGCCTTGAGAATACCGTGCCGGGACATCCGGGCACTGTCCATATTCCTGCCTGCCTCATGATCATAGCCGCCGGAGTCAGGAGATGGGGATGTCCTTGGATGTTCCCCCTTATGCTAACTCAGTCCTTAAATGGGGATTATAGTCCCCCTATTATAATCCCAAAAAAGGACTATTAGTAAAAACGTATAAACCCTAAACCCCAAAGTATAAGGGGGAACATCCCAAGGGATGCCATTCTTCTTTCCAGCGGCGTGTCTCCGAGTGTGACTCATCTTCCCAAACAGCCTGGGCTGCTCCAACCTTGAGGAGAGCACTTCTTGCCATGTACGAGCTTACGAATCTAGAGGCCTGAGGCGGATGTTCCCCCTAATACTGACCATCCTTTATAGGGATAATACAAAAAGGGGGTACTATAATCCCAGTTAAGGACTGTTCGTATAAGAGGGAGCATCTCAAGATGGCAGAAGACTGAAGACCATGAGGTGCTCTCAACTTGGAGAAGTGCTCACAAAGCGTGTCTGTGTTTTTTTAAATCCAACGACGTGGGGGGGGGGGGGGGGGGCTCCCTCACTATACCTCAGGCGGATATGGGGATGTTTGCGACTTAGGGTTTATAAAGAATGTACAAGTATAATATAACAAATATAAATATGTATATAAATAGATAAATACATATATATATATATATATGCACAGATGTAGATATATATATATATATATACGCATGCATACATACATACATACATATATATATATATATATTCATTGCCCCCCTGAAGCAGAGACTGCGTTCCACAAAGTCGCAAGGCCGTTTCGGGATCATTCTGAGACAAGGTTGTCCCGAAGCATCCATTGAAAGCCTGACCCCACATCGCTCTCTCCCCCGACAGCCAACGAGTTCGGCATGTGTCATGTCATGCTCTCAAAGACTTCCCTACTGGGAGGGGCGGCGAGTTCTGAAAAGCAGGCGCTCGTCCTGGACCCATGGACCCTAGACCCTAAACTAAACCCTATAACAAGGGTGGAGAAAGGAGCACGGCATTTCAGCCATGATGGTTCGTACGACCTACAGACAACTAAACTAGAACCTGCTTTTCTGAGTTTGATGGCCCCTCCCTCGACAGGGCCACTGCTGTCACACCCAGCTGGGCCTTACAAACTTGATTGCCATACCGCCGCATATATATATATATATACATATATATATGTATATATACGCATATATATGCACATACATATATGTTTGTATGCTCACATTACATCCAGCCATCGGTTTCCCGCATTCTCTGGTGCCTTGGGTGAAAGGCGTAGCGGTCCTGTCGAAACAGCGCTCCTCAGCGGAAAAAAGAGTTAGCACGTGCAATTGCTTGTTTCGCATCGAGCAAGACTCTTGCAGCAAGACGTTTCGCTTTCTTTTGGGCGTTTCAATCTGTCCCGCATTAGGTGTATGGGCTTTCGACCCGAACGGGCTACTTTCATGCTTGGGCTGCCTATACGCGTAGTCCCATGCCACGCTGCAGATTCATGGTCCGGCTCGCACTTGTTGTTTGGTCAGTGAGTGTTGCCATCATTGCTGACTGCCACTGTCGAGTACACAGTCGCAGACGAGCAGCACCAGCAAGCACATAAGATGGACTCAGATTGACTGGGATCCTCCCTTCAAGCCATTTGCACCCCCCAAGGACCACCACAAGACTAAACAACCTACAGGACCTGCACTTTTATTACTAAGCTGAGCTTGCACTAAGCAACCCACACACGCACACTCGCACCAGCACTGGAGATTGCAAACCCTGTGGTCATTGACGTGTCTACAAGACTGGACCGGATTTGTTTGGAATTGGCGGCCGCCGCATGCGACCACACCACTGGGCTTGCATGTTTTCCAGAAGATCGAGGTGGCCTGCTTTGCTGCTTCTAGCCCCGAATTCTGCCCCCGAATTCTGCAGTCCCCGCGCGAATCACAGCATGTGCATCTTGGGTCATCTTGGGCTTGACGTATGGGGTCAGTCATGGAGCCGTGGCGAGAGTGCGACATGTGCGGCAAGGGCTTGTCTATAACTTTTGCCTTGAGACAAAGGTTTCGAAGCCCCAACACACACGAAGCCGAGTTGGCCTAGTTCTTCCCATGCTGGAGGCTGCACTGAGCTTGGCCCATGGGCCTGAAGCTTACACCGCGCATGCAGTTGACAAGTCCGTGAAGCTTGGGGCCGGGGCTTACGTCAGTGGGCTTTCATATTTGAAGGTTGGTGGGCAAGATGTGGGCCTCAGTGACATTGAATTGAAGGAGCTGGAGTGAAAGAGTTGCAGTGGATGGCAAACTACACTAAACACGCAGAAAGAAATAGGCTTTACTGGAGCTCTGAGTTTGAATGGCCTGAAAACCAAACATCATTTTGTCAGCTTGAGGTTCCCTTGAGACATTGATATGGGGTCCTTGCCTAGGGGGAAGCGTGCGCAGGGGTTTGAAGGCCGTAGACCCACCCACATATACACACACACACACACCGTCCTTTGCAGAAGCCTTAAGCATGACTTATGAAAGCCGCCTTTTACATTCTTGTAGGAAACTAGAGCCCCCTTAGATTGTTTGTTATTTGTTATAAATAAATAAATAAATAAATAGATATATATATATATATAATCCAAGGGAATAGTCAAAATACTATCTTTATTCAGAGGGGAGTAGGGAAAACCCATTAGCTGCAATTGCTGCGGTTCCTCACGCAGCCTCTGCATTTTCCGGTTGAAACACATGGTACCTTTCGCACACCTCCTGAGTTGACAGCTCTTGAACAACCAGACCAAACTAAGGGTTTGCGGTTTGGGGTTTAGGGTTTAGGGTTCAGGGTTTAGGGTTTAGGGTTTAGGGTTTAGGACACCCACGGAAGTCCGGATGCAAGAAGGGCTTATATTGGGTTTGGGGACACCCTGTCCAGGAACCAGGCTGAATGCCATTCGCGAGGCATGTCGCCTTACGCCCGACGAGAGATCCGAGGATACCTCCGTTCAGTTGGCCACCATGGCTACTATTTGCTCAAGAAACCACCCCAAAAATCGAAATATGCGTTCTTTAAGGGTAGTATAGGGATAAAATGGAAATATTCTTCCCTTACGGGAAATATGGGGATTACTATCTTGTATGTTTTGGGGTTCTTGAGCAAATAGTGGATGTTTACCAAAGATGCATTTTATATAGAAAGTTGCAATTCGGTAGTTGCATTACAAGCGATCTGTCCAGTAGAGCTGCTGAATTCACCACGCTCTTTCGGCCATCGTGTTCCAGAGAATACCGCAGCATTTAGTTGCAAAGTATGGTTACGTAAACTATATACGATTCCTATCTACAAGACTGAGAACATTTATAAGACTGATAAGAGTCAAAGCCATCATCAGAATGGTAATCGTTATCAGAATCATGGTAGTAGTTCTTCTAAGAGTTCTGGCCGGCTAAACAGTTTCAAAAAAAAAACTTCTAAGAAGCATTCTACCCGTTCTTATGTCGTTCCCCGGGACTTCCTGCTGCAAGTTCAGGCAGAGGCAGCCTCAAGAAGGTTTGCCATTGTTCAAATTCCCCGAAGGCATGATTTTGCAGTTGCCATGTCGACAATTAACACTCTTATCATCAACAGAATTATGATGAGTATTGTGGATATTGCAATAGAAGCAAAGTTGTGGGCTCAGGCGGGGGCACCCTCACAGCAGAATGCAAAGAAAGCAAGCTGAAGAGAACGTGTCTACCTTCTTATGACTCCTTATCGACATGCTTTTTGCTTGGTGGATCCCCTGTGCAGGACAACATTAACGACGTCCTCGAGTTTGCCAGACCCTCGGGTTTACAACCAGTGTAGCTTTCAGAGTTCAGGAGTTCGAGTGAAGTGTGTTCGAGTCTGAGTTCCGAATTCACGGACTCGAAATGTTCCCTCAACATCACCGGGGAAATTCTGACAAGCTCTTGCAAGACGGCAATCTGCGGTTCAAGTTCGAGTACTGCAGGTGGTACAGATGGATTCTGGCAGTAAGGCACTAAGTGAAGCTGACGCAGGTCCGCGATGTAAAGTTCTTCGCCAAGCTCACCAACTTGCAGCAAAAGTCTTTGCCTGGGCCTTTCAAGAACTGCTTGGAGGTTCATGGTACTTACTAACCAATTCTAACTGTACTTATAGCCATATTAGGGCACTGAAGGGGCTTCTAATAAGTACCATGAACCTCCAAGTGGCTCATGCGTCCGCAAGGTGGTGTGCGTGAGATCTTGTTCACGAGACGTCACGCACTTTCTGGTCACACCTAGCTACCTTTCACCGGCAAGAGTGCTTGATGTCCCTCTTAAGGCATGCTGAGGCGCAACACTGTTTAGAATTTAGGGTTTAGGGTGTAGGGAGTAGGGTTTAGGGTTTAGGGTTTAGGTGTTGCATCTCAAAAATGGCCACGAGGTGCAAGACTATGACAATCGAGTCTTTCGATCCTCGCCAGAACATCTTCGAGGTCGGAGATGTGGGAGACAAGCGCGGGCCCCATGGGTGGGAGAGGATGTTCGTTCCGCCACGGATATGAGCTCCCGAGAAGCATAATAATCAAGCAAGATTAGATGGCTTCTGCACTTAAGGGTTTAGGGTTGATGGTTTCTTGCATTTAGGAGGGTTTTTAGAAGGTCATCTACAGGTTTTGAGAGAGAGCGAGTTCAACAGGCTATTGGAGTTTTACGACTGCCCAGAGTCTCGCCTCTGAGATACTACATCATCCTGACCGGCAGCGTTAGCGTTCAGGTCGGGTCCTCGGACGAGGCTTTTGCAACCCGCGGCTTTTTCCAAGCCCCTAAACCGTAAACCCTAATCCCTAAACCCTAAACCCTAAACCCTAAACCTATCAAAGTGCCCATTCTTGACCAAGGTCCCTGTGCCCAACACGCCTTGTCCGAATGGGATACACACAGTCAGGCCGGTCACCTCCAGTATCTGCCTGGGACTCTCTCTTTACCTACAGGTTAGTACTCACTACCCTTAAGCAGTACCCTTAATTAGTATATATGACCCAGAAAACAGTACCGTTAACGAAAGAGAGAGAACCCATAAAACAGTAGGAATTCCCGTTGCTTGGTAGGTATAGCCCATAAAACAGTAGTAACTGCCCCTAGTGAGTAGGTATAACCCAGAAAACTGTAGGTAAAGAGGGCTCCAGGTGAAACTTCTCTGACCTGTCACGTCAGTAACTCAGTTAGGAGGTTCCTTGAGGATGTCGCGTTAAAGCATCCTAAGGCGATTAAGACGATTCAGGCTGCATAGGGTTTAGGGCAACTCCGGGCGAAGTGGCAAGCCTGTTGCCTTGAGGATGTCGCCAGCTTTGTGGTGCTTTACTGTAACTTTAGATCCGTAGATTTTTTGGGTTTATTGGGTGTCCTAAGAAGTCAGCTAAAAGTTTAGTTTTTTTCTACCCTCCTAAGTGCAGCCAAGCCAGTAGGTCGAAGCGCCCTTGAGATCCTCCACGGCCAGGTGTGACTGCAAGAATCGGCCCCTCGAGACGACGGTGTTCCTGGCCAAGGCTGGCAGAGAAGGTCTCAGGGGCTCTGGGGTTGTGCGGCTCAGCTTCGTTTGGGCTTTTAGGCTTAGGGTTGAGATCTCATGGCACTTTGCGGGGTTAGGCTTTGGGGGTTGGTTGATCTGCATTCGTCCATGCTCGGGTGCTTTTGAAGACGATTGTGGACTACAAGTCTTCGTTGTTCGTTGCTTTGCATCTTGCCTCCGGGGTATATCGGATGTTTCTCATTCTACGATCAGTCCTCAGTAGGGATTGCAAGACTTGGAGGTTCATGGTACTTATTAACCAAGAATCATTGTACTTATAGCTGTACTTCTAACACATCTTATAACCACATCAGGGCACTTATGGGATCTTATGGGGCAAGTAGGGTGGGGGGGGGGTACTATAACCCCTATAAGAACTGTTAGTGTAAGGGGCAACATCCCAAGTCAAAAGATGAAGACTTGCACATGGCCGCGTGGCAGGGGAGCGGTTTCGGCGAGTTGGCGCTGCAGTCGGACCAGCCAAGGCTCCTTGTGCTTGGGCGGTTGAAATTAGTATTGCTATCATTATTATTCTGTTTACTATGATTACTATTACTACTATTATTATTATTATTATGAAAATATGGGTTGTCTCTTCGTCTTGCCGGCTGTTGTAGTTGGTGTGTGTGTGTGGGCAAATGTTGGATGATGTGGGTTCACTGGAAGGTTGACCTATGTTTGGGCAGGGGGTTTGGATTCAGGGGAACCCACCACGCAGCCGGCGAAAGCCTCTGGCGCCTCTAGTCTAGCCTCAACATGCTAACTTGTGACTCCGGCCAGCAACGCAGGGTGTCTAGAATTCGGTGATCTTGCCCTAAACCCTAAACCCCAAACCCCAAACCCTAAACCCGAAACCCTAGACCGCAAGATTCCTGTCCCTCAGGAGCGCAACCATCTTTACCGGTGTTCGGGGCCCAGCGTCGCCCCCCCCACCCAAATCCAGCAAAGCGCGATATGGGGGCTTACGAAAATAGGGGAACCCTCAAATAGACCCCCAAATAGTAGGATTCCCGTACAAAAAAGGACCCCAAGAATGCACTTCATTTCTTCTTCGGAAACCCCCATATCTCGAAGGGTCAAGGTCAGGGGAACATTCCTGCAACAAGGGTCACTACTCCCGGCTGCACTCAAGGAGAAGACCGAAGTCTTGGTCATCACCCGAGATGACTACGAAATGTATGTCGGTGCCTTGTGGGAAGGCGTAGTGCGCCATGGCCTGGCTGTGAGCTTGCACAAAATCGCAGTCTTTCTTGCAGATGTGGGCAGTATGGGGCAGCAGTTGTTCTTGCCCGGCTCCTCAAACACGTGGAAGGTCAGTCGAATTCGCAGCTGCACATCCGTTTTCAATGCCTAATCAACAAAAACTGTGCGCTTCGCAATATTCTCTTGTCGGCACTGCTAACTGCTTTCCAGGTCTTATCATCCATTCCCGAAGGTGGAAGTGGAATGGGTGGGGGGGGGGGGGGAATGTGTAGGGGCGAATGACGTCCGCATTGGCTCATCCATGCCTGAACAAAGAGCCAGCCTTTCACGCCGTTCTTGCGGCTGCACAGAACTTCTTTCTGGTAACCCTGACCCTAACCCCTAAACTCCATGGTCCCATCATCCAGGCCCGAACGCTTACAGGTAGGAGTTCAGGGTTGTTAACTGGGGCTGGGAAAGTGGACATCATCAACGCCCTAAGCCTAAGCCCAGGAGTGGAGGAGCCACTGGTCGTGCTCATCCGGTTGGGAGATTTGTATATTGCTCTTCTTAATTACGGGTAACTTCCTTCAAGCCATTTGTATGCTGCCCTTGTTAGGGTAACTTCCTGCAAGCTATTTGTATACTACCCTTGTTAGGGTAACTTAGTGCAAGTTCCTTAGCAAGATCGCACACAACTCAGCGTGCTGCAGCAGAGGCCGGCAAGCTTCACAAGCATTGAGCTCAGCTTCGCCACTTTGGAGGGCCAACCTTGGAGAACCACCCTTAAGGGTCCATGTACCTTATTATTATATGCTTGGGCCCCAGAGTCCGTATATAGGAGGTACTTTAAGGCGCAAGTATTCCCTATATCTAGGCGCATGGAACTTGAGGGCACAAGGTGTAGTGCAAGGATTTTCGGGGTTTAAGGGGTTTGGGGTTTGGGGTGGCGACCGTTCTTACAAGCTGTGCAGCACTCGGCGATTTTCCACTGTTTACGACATGGACATCGGATACCGGCGCCTCGTTGCCCCAGGCTCTTCATTGAGCAGAGGGTGAAGTTCCTGAGGCACCCTGGCCCTCCCGAATTTTGTAGCAAGACTCACAGCTCCTGAACCTCTCGGCTTTTGGCGACATGTGAGGAACCGCTACAAGTCATCATTCTCTTGACAATTCCGCCTTGAGATGCTTGACAGGCAGTGCCCGCTGATTGAGCAGGCTCTTCAGCAAGGCTTGGGCTGGGCCATGCGCCAGCTTCTCACCCAATCTGCTACATTCAGTCTTTCCGGCGAGAGCTTCAGTTGCTATCCGCAGCGTAAAACACCCAAGGATGAGGCAGTTTCTAGGTCCACTTAAGGATACAATCAACAGTTTGATGCGTCGCACCAAGCTGCGTGACAGTAGGGCCTAAGCTGTTGGGACTTTGCGAACCGGGCGTGTTCTGCCAGCAGCTTCTACATGACACACCAGAAGCCAAGTGGGAGCGATTGAGTTCGTTCAGGCCTCGTTTCCACCGCCGACATCGCTTCGATGGCTGCCTGGCTGCTTTTGTTTAACGTGGGCCCAAAAAAAGGGGTTCGGACCCAGACATGTTCGGGCGCGTAGCAGTCGCAGGATGTTACAAAGCTTCATGATCTCCTCGGTGTTAGAACATGTAATCCTAGCTGTCCTATAGCTCCCTCCCTGTACATCTCAGGAGAAGGTGTGCACGTGCCTCCGGGTCATTGCCCTCCAACACCACCAAAAACTGATTGCGGTGTCATGAGGGTGCCTGATGGAGGACTTTGTCAGCAATGGTCCATCTGCAGTTAAGGCGAACTGCCTGAATGAGCGGAGCCTGAACGGCAACCAAATCGTGGTGCGACAGGCCTGGTTTTTTGATTGAAGCTATCTGAGACGCCTTGCCGTGATTCTGATACTAGTCTTTATTGTGCTACATAGATCCAGCGGCTAGGATCCCCAAAGCCTGCCTTCGGAAACTGATGCAAGCATTGCAGGGGCCAGAAATAAGATTGCCTTTGACATTTACGTACATTTGGCCCCTTCCTCCACTCCCCCGCTCAACCCCCCTCCGCTCCGTACTCCACCCCCGTCCCCTCCCCTTCTCCCGCCCTCTGCCTCGCTCAGCCCCTTAATCTTTGGTCCAGGGTGAACCGGTCGAGTGCATGATCTTTGTTCGCTCCGGCTCCCTCGCAATGCCTGAGCCCCAGCAGCTATAGGAGGTTGAGGGTCTCCTTGATCCAACCCTCGCCTGCAAACTATCGCGCGGGAGGCCCACCAAACCGGAATGCACTATAGTCCACCATGAGCAAACCAATGGCCACAGCTTGAGGCCCCAAAGATTTTCAAAGAAAGCGTCTGGACTCCGACCCTATCTCAAAGACTCCTCTTGGCGCTGGCACGGATTTCATTCCATGGACGAACATGCACAGGCCAGGGAGCAAAAAAGGAGGAGGCACGAATGAGTACATTGAACTCACATGGTTCGCTCATGTGGTTCCTTGAGCTGGGATCGTACCTGTTGCCACATCAAGACATGTCACCCCCCCCTCCTCCCTGGAGTGTAAGTCACAGTATCAAACAGGGGCCTTAACAATTAGAATAGGCTTTTGGGGGGGGGGGGTTTCTGTCTGGTATAAAGATATGGGGACCATATAAGGGAATTCTACTCGCCCTATCTTTCGATGTTCCCCTTGTACCAGTCCTTAATAGACATTATGAGCGGCGGGTGCTATAGTCTCTATAAAGGACTGCTAGTATAAGGGGGAACATTCCAACCCCTATCGGGTTTAGGGTTTAGGGTTTTCCTTGCAGTTCTACCGCAGTCCAGTTGCAAAAAGGTTTAGGGCTTAGGGTTTAGGATTTAGGGTTTAGGGTTTAGGGCTTAGGGCTTAGGGTTTAGGGTTTAGGATTTAGGGCTTAGGGCACAAGCCAAGCCGAGGTTGAGGCTCGTGGAGGGCGATGCCAGAGAGTGGAGCTCTCAGACTTCGGCTTTTTCGGAGCGCATGGGGGGGCGGGGGGGGGGGGGGGAATGCCTGGAAGGTCAGAAGCCCCCAACCCGTAGGGTTTGGGGTTTAGGGTTTGGGGTTCAGGGTTTAGAGTTTAGGGTTCAGGGTTCAGAGTTTAGGGTTCAGGGTTCAGGGTTTAAGGTTCAGGGTTTAGGGTTTAGGGTTTAGGTTTAGGGGGTAGAATCAAGCTAGGACCTGGGACAATGACCGCACCCTGAAGCGAAGATGTTCTTGCTGTCGCTGGTCGTCACTACGAGCACACATGCTTTCAGGATCCCCTAGTTCGCCTTATCAGAAGCATTGGCATCCCTGGGAGCATCTGAGGCCTCGCCGTCCAGCTATGGCCCCGGCAGCCCTTTCGCACTGATTCGCATGTCGCACGGCGAGCCCACAGAGAGAGTTGACGATGTGCTTCAAATGCCTCGGGCCTGACAGCCCTGGCACTCGGAAAGATGTATAGTTGAAGTTGGGGAGCCTCTCTTTCGGGACTACCTGCATTGCCTCAGGGTGTCCTCGACCAAAGCAAAGATGGGAGGAGGTATCTGCACCTGCCAGCGGTGTTTACCAGGTTTATACAGGTTTACCAATTCAAGTTCAGGGCTTTCACGGGTTTACCAATTCAAGTTCAGGGCTTTCACGCGGGCGACGGGGGCCTCAAGTCTGTGACGAGCTCTACCTGTCTGGTGGCTAAAGCAGCACCCTGATTCGTGCACGCAAAGCAGCCGTCGAGCCCCGTGTGCTTGTTCTGCCAAAGGCCCCGTCTGCTATTGAATCCGCCGAAGAAAAGTTATCACAGTAAGCCTCCACCTCCATGATCGCAAGTACGCATCCCTTGCGCCTCATCAGGAGTTTGAAGGACAGCTCGGGCGCCGGTGCGGGCAAGGTGGGCGGCTGCTATGGACGGCGAATTCATGACTTGTTCAGCAATGTTGCAGACGAAGCGATGGCAAACTCTGTGGAAGGGACACTGAATATGAGACTGGTAGGCCTTTGGGAAGACACCTTCGGGCAGCCCTATGAATTTGGCAAAGGCCTGCCTGAGATGGGGCTGTATAGGCTGTATAGGCTGTTTGCAGTTCTGATATACCAAGTTTCTGGTTGTCTTGTTCAGGGGTTCTGAAAGCCCATCTATTCCAAATCCATAAAGCAGTTTAACGCATCCACCGGTATACCTCCAGCAAACGTTCGCGATCTTGATTCCTGGGCTTTTGGCAAGTTTGGGAAGCTCCAGGGTTGTGCTGCCTAGAAGCTGCAGTATAAGGTCCTTGGGTGTAGACACCCTTCTGGCGTGGGAATCGCTTTGTGAGAGTGGGAGGTTCGGGGGTCCTTTCGTAGTTCGGGTGCTGCTGCACCGCGGTAACGACGCGCGCTCCGCCCCGCAAAGCCTCTCATTCTGGACGGTAGAAATCTGCAGAGGCTGCGTTTGGAGATCGACTTACCCTTAATGGGGGTTTCCGAAAATAAGGGACCCCTAGTATAGAGTATAGACCGTAATCTCGTACACCCCCATATCATCACAAGCACACCATTCCTTTTTTTCTGGAAATTAGGTGTCGTCACTACGAAGGCGAGTACGTTTTCCAAGGGAGTACAGGGCTGCTAGGAGCTGCGGCCCTTTTCAAAGTAGCCCTAATCCCCCCCAATATGAAACCCCCCCACCCCCCAATATCAAAAATGTGAAAATTAGATTATAGTTCTATTATAGCATATAGGGGGGATTTAATATTTGGGGGGGGGGGGGGGGTAGGAGGGGTTTAATATCAGGGGCCTGGGATTGTTCAGGATAGCCAGTAGACTTGCGAGGAGTTGCCTATGTTGCTGGGGCGGCACGTGCAAAACGCACACACCCAACAGCACTGACAAAGAGCATCAGGCTGAGAGACCAGCACCGTGCCATGGCCTCCAAAGTAAACGCTAAGGCTACCACAGATGATGACAGCCTACACACTGTAACTGCGGGGACTTAAGGCACCTTTGATTCTTGGCTAATGCTCAAAGAAAATCTGACCCCACCATCTGAAAAGAAAAGCCCGCGCGTTGCAGGCCATGTTAGACATGAAGCGAAAAGAGCGGGACCTGGCGCTGGCGGCCGTCTACATGAAGAACCCGCGGTGCCTCTTCTGTACCAGGGTCTAGGGTTTTCCCCCTGGTTCTTAGTAGGGAATGAGGGAATGAGGGCCCTATGTATGCCCTGTAAGGGATTATATAGGGTACCTCATTCCCTCATTCCCTACTAAGACCCAGCCAGTTTCACGTTATAGGGCTCGTAGAGTTTATCAAGGATGTAGGGATGGTAGGTTTTTGTCTTCATAGGGTTTGAAGGTTTAGGGTTGAAGGGTGGAGGGTTTTTATTGCGTTTAAGGTTGCTGGGCTTAAGCTTCATGCAAGTGGATTCGTGAGGGATTCTAGTGCTGCTGAGCTCACGGCATAACAAGGCCGGTAGAAAAAGGGTTCAGGGGTGTAGGATGTATAGAGAAACGCCTAGCTAGCGGATCAGTGTCAGAAGCCTGAATGCAAAAAGGGTTTATAGAGTTGAAGGGTACTAGGATTTAGGGTCTCTGTGGGGCTTGCTGAATTGTAGATACGTCCTACACGAACTTTCGAATCTTGAGGGACTAGAATAGGGCCCTGTGTCAGGATGGCTTGAAGGCTAAATACTTGCTTCAGAGCAAAGCTTAGCTCGTTGTGCTGGATATGTTGGGCACAGTAGTATTCCATGATCAGCAGATCAGAGTTCCCCCAAAAAAGGAGACCACAACACGGATCTAGGTCAGCCTGAATAGCTGGCTCTCGAAGGTCTGGAACGCGCAGAGAGAGCCTGGCGGAGACGACGATGTACACAGAGCGATTCTTCGGGAGGCTGCAGAAGACCAAAAACCCTATCAGCCGCCTCCCCCCCCAGGCCACCGAAAACCCCCCCCTAAACACGCCGATTCGATGTGCTTGAAGGGAAGCCAGACTCCGAACGCCCTTAGCTTTGTCATAGTTGGGTACCATTTTGCATTCTTAAGGGTACTTAATTAAACCCACTAAGGAATATATATATATATATATACATATATACATATATGCTATATAGCTACCCCCCCCTGGGTTATCCACGCTTTTTTGTGGTTTTCCACGCTTTTGTGGTTGCGAGCCAATTAAATCGTTCACGGGCCGCGGTGACCCCTGAACTCCCCCCCCCCCCCAAAAAACAAAAAAACAAAAACCCAATCCTCTACATAACGTAAATGTATGCAATCCTTGAGATGTTGAGTCCTCTCCATCTGTCCAAACACTGGGCACAGCGACCTCCTCCCCTCCCTTCCGCTCCGCTGCGCTCCCTGGTTTTTGCAAATGCTTTTCTTTCAGGGCTTATCTCTAAAACCCTATCGGCTAAGGTTTAGGTCTTATAAAAAGAGACGCCCCGAAACCCTATAGGGTTTAAGGCTTAAAGCCGATAGGGTTTAGGGTTCAACCTGAAACCTGAACCTTTAGATCCATAGGGTTTCAAAGGTGAAGCAATCACACCTAAACCCTTAACCTTTAAATCCTATAGGGTTAACAGGTTTGAAGATTTAAGATCTAGGTAATAAAACCTAAGCCCATAGAGTTTAACCCTTAAGGGTTTACGATTTAGGCATCTAAACCTGAGCCCTTTAGGGGTGACCCTGAAAGCCTATAGGGCTCTAAAAAGCCTCAATAGTTTTAACCCTTTAGGCGATGAGCCCAGACCTTAGGTTTTTAAGCCTTTAAACCCCATAAAGTCTAAAGGCTTAGGGCTTTTCAAGGTTTATCTCTAAAGCCCTCACGGGGTTAGCCCTATAGGGTTTGAACCCTCTAGGCCTATAGGGTTCAACAGTTTAGGGCTTAAGGCTTAAGGTTCAGGCATTGCCTATAGGACTAGAGCCTGAAAAACCCTATATAGCTACAGGCGTAAATCCCTAAACCTAAAATCCCATATGGTTATGCCTCTGTTTGTAGGACTTGGTGGAAATGCAAAGAATAAGCAGGTATCGGGTTCAAAGGTTTAGGGGTCTTCAAGGTTTACAAGAGTTTAAACCATGAGGGCTTACGGTTTAGGCATTTGAATCTAAATCCTAAGCCCTTTAGGGTCAGAACCCTGAAAGCCTACGGGGCTCTAAAAGCCTCAAAAGTTTTAACCCTATAGGCGCTGAAGGTATACATGCCCAGACCTTAGGTCTTTCAACCTTTAAGCCCCATAAAGTTTAACGGTTCAGGATGTTTTCAAGGTTTATCTCTAAAGCCCCCATGGGGTTAGCCCTATAGAGTTTAAGCCCTTTCGGCCGAGAGGGTTCAACGGTTTAAGGTGGCAGTACCTATAGGATAAGAACCTTAAAGCCCTATTTGATGGTTCTGTTTCCCCTTTCAAAGTTTTCAGGATTTTAAAGAATTTAAAGGGACCCTTTAATTCTTCAAAACCCTCAAACTCCTTAGGATTTTGAAAGGCCTCTGGCTTTCAAAAGTTTAAGGATATGAAGGAATGCAAAAGGCCACTTAAATACTTTAAAATCAGTAAAATCTTGAAAAATGTTAAATTATTCTGGGAAAGGCCCGGCCCGTTTGAGTTTTTAAAATCCGTTAGATTCCTTAAATCCTGAAAATTTGAGACAAAATAGCCATTTTTGGAAAAGGCCCGGCCCATTTGTCATTGAACGCCACGACGCCGGAGACGGATACGCCAGCCATGATGAATAGGGATACACAGGGGGCGCTGCGAACCAATAGCCTCCCAACCACATTGTTCGCACACCGTGAGTTTGAACCCCAGAAGCTTGAATCCAGAGTCCTGCGTATTGAAGTTCAATGCTCCGGATTGAACTTCAATACTCCGGGATTCAAGATTCAAGATTCAAGGTTCCAGGGAAAAGTTTCCCCGGGATCTTGAATCCAGGGTGAGGAGTATTGAAGTTCAATGCCCCGGATTGAACTTCAATGCTCCGGGCCCCGGGATTCAAGATCCCGGGGAAACTTTTCCCGGGAACCTTGATTCTTGAATCTTGAATCCCGGAGTATTGAAGTTCAATCCGGGGCATTGAACTTCAATACTCCTTGTCCCTCATCGTGCTTAACCATTGAAGCCTAGAAATTTAGGTACACCATGCACTCTAGAAACACCAGTAAGTAGACAACATCGTCACACTATAGTAGCAGAATATAACAAGACTGAAGCTTTGAAGTAAGGAAGCTCTGAAGTTACTTATCCCCCCCAAAAAAACATGCGCTTATCCCCCCAAAAAAAGCGTGGATAACTGGGGGGGGGTACCATATATATATATATATATATTTTTATTTATATATTTATTTATTTATTTGAATTTTCAATATTATCCCTTGGGCTGGTCTGTTTTGGTCTATGGCGTAGCTGACGTAGCGTGGCCAGTATGAGTCATAGCTTCTGCGTGTCTTGTGCGTTTCATCGGGCACCACCCCCCAAACCTTATGGCCAGAGTCGCCAGGAGAGCTTCCTTCGACGGCGCTCAGTTGGAATTGCCCGCGCCCTTGAGCTATAGGGTTGACCAGGATGGGCTATTATACCCTATAATCCCTTAAAAATAAAAGGCGCTTAGGGTTCATCATGGGGATTATAAGGCCTAATAACCCATCCTGGTAGGGACAGTTTAGTGATGTTTGGGTTTAAAAGGTGGCATCCTAGGCCAACCTGGCCTGCCCCCGAATTGGATTTGCTTTGTCAGGTCATCGCTGAACATTCCTCGCCTACATCTGCTACGCAACCTGACCCATCAGCCCTTTGATCGCTCACCCTGCCAACCAGCTTAATATCAACAATAGTAACATCACCAAAGCCGAATGAAGAATAGTAGTGAGCAAGAATCAACAGGAGGAGTAGCAAGACTGACAGCCCCATCATAAGATGTCAGCAACGGGGCAATAAGTGCAGTTCCCTGGGCAGCTCATGGTGTTCGGCTGAGTCCCCCTGTTTCTGGGGCTGTGGGGCTGTGAGCGTAGTCTTGGGGAGAAAGGGAATGTCCGAGTGCACCTTAAACCCTAAACCCTAAACCTTGCACCCTACACCCAAAAAACCCCAAACCCTGAACCCCAAAACCCTGAACCCTGACCTCCAAATCACAGGTCGGAGGAGGACCTTGCTGCTGCAGAGGCCGAGGATGCTGTGACTTCCCAGGCGAGCGTGGTGCCAGAGGCCGAGCTTCACCCTGGCCTGCGGCCTTGAAGGAAGCACCATCTAAGAGCCTCAATCGTTCCAATTTGGGGGGGGGGGGGGGTATTTGCTTCCATGAGGCTAGCTGCCAGTTGTAGCCAACAAAAACACTTCAGTCGAGGGGTTCAGGTATGACGGTGAAGGGTCTCGGGCTGCTGGGTGGCTCCTCGAAAGAGCGAACAAGGCCTCGGTGGACCACCGCAAGCCCCGTCACACAAGCGTAGTTTTGTTGGGTAGGCGGCCGCCGACCTTAAGACCTTAAAGCATCATCTCCTACATATTTCACACGGAACGACTCGCTTTAAGTACTGGGTGTATCTGCTACCTGCTACTCTATGTTGATCTCTTTTCTTTTTGGGTCCATGTACCGATTATCGGATTATCGCAGACGCCCAATCCGAACAGACTTTGTCGCTGCATAAGCCCTGGGATCTCCTTCAACCTGCCCAGGTCGGCCGTGACGCAGAATGCTGGCAAGGCTTGATGAGGGTCTTCACGTTATGATGCAAAAATACTAGCGATAATCATGATGACAGCACGAGTTCGAGAAAATAGCAATACTCTCAGCAATGACAGAGTTACACAAGGTCAAGAACAAAAACAAGACCGATCAAAGGGCCGGACGCCGAAAAGGGACGGCAGTTTCGCGCTTGGTGAACACAGGCCTCCAACTGAGACGACAATCTCGCACGTGGTGAGCCGAGACGGGACAGTTTTGCAGAATGTGGCGAACCCAGAAGCAAGGAGTGATGACACTTTCGCGGACGGTGAGCAACAAAACAACATGCCGATCATTCGACGCAAGACTGTCCTCGCTTTTGAACGTCTCGGCTCACCACGTGCGAATTTTGTCGACGCTATTGGACGCCTGTGTTCACCAAGCGCGAAACTGCCGTCCCTTTTCGACGTCTGGCCCCTTGATCGTTTGTGCTCTTGTTTAAACGTTAAACCCTTCAAGAAAATGTTAAGCAAAGACCTTCAGAAGTTCAACCAAGCCACCCATCACTTAATGCATACAGGTTGCTACTGGTATTTACATACATACGCAAGTTTATGCATGTAATTATACATATCTGTGTGCGTCCATCCTTTCACAGACCCATCTATGGATACATAGATACATCTACAAATATTCACATGTACGCACACACACATGTATGTGTATATATAATCCATGTATATATATATATATGCATACACCTATACATATACATAGATGCACACATATTACATACATACATACATACATATATACATACATACATACATATATACAGATATACTTATACAAATATGTACATACACATGTGAATTATTACATACGGCATACATATACACACATGCACATGAATGTTACATCTGTAAATGAAAATCTATATGTATGTATATATATATACATATGTATATATACATAGACATAGAGATGTGCTGCGCAGGGGCTTTGGGGCAAACTTCGAAAAGCCACGCGGCAGGTGGCGGCAATCCTCGCTTGGAGGGGTACCCAAACCCGTAACCCTACACCACATCATGCCAGCCTTGAGCAGCTGAGTTCAGGGGCTGAGTGCCGCTGTAGTCAAACGCCGTTCGGGTGCGCAACCGCAGAGGGGAAGGGGGCAATTGCCCCTGCACCCCAAACCGGCAGAGAAGGAGAGGGAAGAAGAGGCAGAGAGAGCATCGTTCCTATATATAAGGCCCCTCAGGGCTCAATTCAAGCTCGGCGCAAAGAAGCACGGAAGGTCTGAACCTGCCAAAAGACTCATCAAGAAGGGAGCAGGCAGAATTTTTCCCAGCAGTCGTACGAGTCAGCACCACCCGATCCGAATAGGACAAGGCCAAGACACGGGAAGCTAGCCGGGGAATGGGCAGGCTTGCGGGGATTTCATGTCGTGGAGGTTGCGGATGCTGTGAGGCGGATTTGGTTGTTGGGGGACGTGCTGCAATGTAAGGCCATTGTGATGATCATTCTCCGCTCCAGGCCAGCCTACTACCGTATACTACGCAGGCACTGCCAGGCGGTGCCTGGCGCACCTCAGCGCAACGAGATGGACACCACGAGTTAACAAGCCCGTAGTGGCTTCGCTCTGAGAAGGCGAGGGGCTGGAGGCCGGGAGGCATGGCGGCAGGTAAGGAGGCAGCAAAGGAGAAGGGGGGGGGGGGGGGGGGGGGAGAGAGACAGAGAGAGAGAGAGGCAGAGCGATATCCCAGAAACATTTTGAAACGCAGTTGCCAAGCAGCAGCAAGCTTGGAAGCGGATCTTCTTCACGAACGTGTTCTACAAAAGGGTTGATACACCTTCCTATCCTTGTGCGAGGATTGTTGCCTTGCCAGGCTACGGTCATTTCGTCGGTCACAGAGGCGCTGGCGATGGAGGCGCCGCCCCACGAGCTTGCCCAGGAATGCCGCGGCAGACAAGTCATGATTTGGGATGTTCCTCCTTATACTAACAGTCCTTGATGGGATTCTAGTAGGGTGTACTAGAACCCCTATTTCCTACATATAGTGATTCGAATAGGGAAACTATAGGCCCTGTTAAGGACTGTTAGTATAAGGGGGAACATCCCAATTCCTGATGCAGATGATGGGGGACGAGCTGGGGCAACAAGGGCAGCAGTCGAGGCTCTTGTGGAAAAACAGAAGATGGTAGTAAGCTTGTAATACTGACAAGCTTGTAATACTGACCATCATAACCATAAGAATTGTACTTCACAAGCATAAGGAATGTAGCAGATTCACCATTTGGAAGCGGCGTGGTCATGTCTGGCCTAGCAGGGACGACGTCCAAGGTTTGGGGTTGCAGGCAGACTGTGCAGGAAGACAGGGACACCTTTCCAGCCCCATACTCAGAATGTGTCTGAGATGCGGAGAAGCCTTCAACTAATCCCCTAAACCCCTCGCAGGCGCAGCAAGAAGACAAGAACGCCGCGCAAGGGAAGGCTTCGGCATGGATAACGCATGCGAATAAGGGAACCTATAGGAGCCTTGAATCTTTGAACCTGTATTGAACCCCTGTGAGCTAGTATAACTATCCTCATTTTTAAATGCTCCCAAGCCACAAAGCCCATTGCCTGCAACCAGCCACTGTGCAGGCAAAGAAGAAAGCAGCCTGGAACCCAGTCAAGCAGGGCTTCCACAGGTTAGCCGCCATTCATAGAATGGTCAATGTTGAGAATGTTCCAGCTTATACTGACAGTACGTAATAGGGATGATAGTAACCCCTATGGTATTCCCTGTTAGGGACTGTTAGTGCAAGGGGGAACATCCCAAGTCAATGCCCAGCTTCCGAGTTTGAGTAAGGAATGCTAGTGACCTTGGGCCTTTCTTTACCAGATCAGCGTTCGGATGGCCTTTTTTTGTGTATCCTTGCATTTCAAACCTACAGAAGTTGCCATTCGCTCAAGAGCCCCACAAAAGATCTGTTCAAAGAGTATTTTCCTTCATAAGGACGATATGAGGAGAATTCTCTTTAAACTTTTTGGGGGTTCTTAAGTAAATAGTAGTAAACCCTCCAGCAGTGGGGCTGCCATGGAGCCTCGCCTTTTGAGATTTTTTGTCTGGAAAACTGAATTTCTCTGGAGGAGCAGGCGACGCTGAAGCCAAAAAGAGTCCCATGCGACAGGGGCCATCAAACTAGGAGCATTCCTTAGTCGTGACTGTTAAACTCGAAATCTGCAGCACCGGCGCAAGTTCTGCAAGCAGACCCAGATCGGCCCTCTGCCCAGAATTACCCAAGATCGACTCAACATACCTCCGCAAACCTCTGCAGGTTCCAAAGACGAAGCTGCTCCGAGTTGGCTCCATAGGCTTGCCCCCAACATGTGCACATCTTTGAGGACGTACATGTGGGTTCCAGGATGGGCAAGGCTGCCCCGAGCTATCTTATTGTCGATCTGTAGGACGCTACTTGTATATTTTAGGACTACCTGGTGGTGAGGTGAAGAGATGCATCAGAGCTTGCCGAAAGTCCGCTGTGTTTGACTTTTGCTTTGGTCAGGTTTCGGTTTTGGGTCATGGAATTGGTGGACTGACTCCTGAAGTGCATACGGCCTAAGGGCCTAAGTCCCTGTGCTTCGACAGCACACAGCCCGGCCCTGAGCCCCTTGACGTTCCCCATAAGTTAGGGTTCAGGGCACCCTAAAACCCTAAATCCTAAACCCCAAACCCTAAACCCTAAACCTTAAACCCTAAACCCTAAACCCTAAACCCTAATCCCCCTGTAAATCCCGAGCTCCGAGTTGCCCCTCGCACTTCGGCTCTCGAGGCGCCTTCCAATACTTCGGGGACAAGGAGGTTTGTACCTCGGAGGCCCAGATATCCCCCCCAAGGCTTTAGGGTTCAGGGTCAGGGCGTGGAGTTCAGGGATTCTAATCTGGGATTTTTGCTAGAAAACACCACACATGAACCGACCAGCACCGGCTGGTACTTCTTCTGTGGCCCGAAGTCTTGCGCGCGCACGGAGACATTCTGGCTTTGCTTCAGATCCGAGACAGACCCCTCTCCATGATGGCCTGAGCACATATGCCGGCTGCTCATCTCAACCTGTGTTTGGCAGCATGGAGGGGCCGCTCTTATCAAAAGATGCATGATGAGGATATACCCTAGACCCTAAACCCCCCAAAATCCTAAAGCTCGCCAGGCATTTCCTTGCAGCCTCATGAGCGATCCCATCGCCGACATCTACATCATGAGCAAGTGGGGCCCTCGCGCTGGAGCAGAGTCTTAACGGCCAAGAATCCGCGGGGCAAGAGGAGTCAGAGGGCGTAAGGAGATAGAGCGTCGAGATGCGTGGAGGACATACATAGGCTCATATGAAGGACTCAGGGCCAATGAACTGCCGCGCGTGCATGCCGCTTGTCGTTCGTCATGGTGTCAAATTAGAAGGCTTTGTGAAATGCCTTCCGATCGCCGCCGCATAGGCACGACATCTCTCGCCGGCTGCCAAAGAATCTCTTCTCCGCGCTCTTCAGTCAAGACATTCAGGCACCGCCAGGGTTGACCCAACCTCTGTTGTCAATTCGCCCAGAATGAATCATAATGAAGTGTCGGAATTTGGGAGGGATGCCCTGTCTAACCGCAACGGTAGAGGCACCTGTTTGCGCTGAGCTTCTCCTAGGGGATCACCGGCAGCGTAGTTCAAAGGACGCTGCACTCCAACAAACTGCTTTGCGCTTGTGCCCAGAAAGAGCCGACCGACGCGAACCTGCTGAACATGCTGCGGCAGAACGAGCAGCCAGACTTTCGTCGAGGGGACTTTGCTTCTGACATCAAAATGAGCCCTAACAGGGTTTAGGGCTCATAATTACCCCATAGGGATTTATAGTAGTGCAGGGTAGATGTTCCCAATGTTAGGTTCATGCGCGTTCCCCATGGCTTCTTCAACTTGAGGAATTCAGGAATAGCGAGGTTGCATCTTAATGCGCTGCCAGCTCTCAGGAATGTCTTGTATCCCTGAAAAGACAAGGTATTGCATCAGGATGTGGACGGATT